ACATTTTTCTGATGTATTTTACAATGGGTGATGGTGAGCATTGTTGTTTTCTTTTAAGACTCTTACGAACTGCATCATGGATAGTTTAATATCCTCTCTGTGAACCTTTAAAAAGGGATTTAAGAAATTCTTGATCAATTTCCAAGAGAGTAATGGAAACTGCAGGGTACATCTTTAGATGGCATATTTGTTTTTACACAAACATTTCTGTACATCTATTCAGTCAGGATCTAATGGTGGGGTTAATTTACTTATGGGTTAGATTCTTGAGTCTTGGAATCCACCTTTCACTACTCCTAAGACTGTAGAATCTCCAATATTTTTACTTCATAAGGGAATGGAAATGGGTTTTAATTGATTATTAAAGAGTTTTAGGGAAGCCATTGTTAGTTTCAATTATCTAGAGTTTTAGTAAACATAGTTAATGTGTTTTCAGTATTATATTATTTTCTTCTCAGTTCACCAGTGTAAGAATGCTAGACATTGTGGCATGCATACTTTTAAAAATTTCTTAGCTTCTAGAGAGGTTTTATAATCATGTTCTTTGCCTCTGTACTATTCAGGGTCTAATCCAATAAAGGAACTAGCAGAGAGTGAAAAAGTCGTAATCAAGACATTGCCAGAATTTCCTGAATCTCTGAGAGGTATGGAGTTGCCCAATGCTATCCTAGAAATATGTAAGAATGGTCCACAACAAGGGAAGTGAGAGGCCTATGGGTCAAGAACTCTTTGAATTAGACTCAGAGTTTTTACCCCACAACAGACAAAATACAAAATGCACCCCAATGCACTTTGCAGCAGTATGTTATATTTCATGTCCTCTCATACATAGCTTGAAATCTGACATGAGAATTCCCTTTATACCATGACCCCTTGGAATTGTCAGCCTGGTATTCCTTATAGTCTTGTGTGGTTAATGGGAGTGAGGAAATACTGAGGTATGAGAGTTGTGATTACAGAGTATAAATTATACTAATTGTACTCTATGACTTTTTCTTATTAATGATGCACATGTTAAATAACTATTCACATCATTTCATTCTGGATAATTTGTAGGTTTGCCCAAGTTGCTGTTTTATGCCTTGAAAGCAATCATTCAGTTTTTCCAACTCTTTGTAACACTTCTAAGCTGTGGCTCACAATGTACCCATTTGTTAGTTCAGGTAACTGAATAACCTTCTAAAATAGTTCCAATAACTGTGTTCATTTGTTGATTAATAACTGTCTTCCATCATTATTGTGACAGAATAGTAATAATGATGTTCTGTTTAATGTATAGAATCCTCCAGCCATCCCCTCCCTGGCAGCAGCATGGTTTGTGAGTCTCCTTTGTGGAAGTAAATTTGTCATTGATTGGCATAACTATGGGTTTACAATCTTGGCTCTGGGAGTGAAGAATACTGAACACCCTCTTGTAAAGGTAGCTAAATGGTAGGTTTTTCTGTGCAAGGCAGTGGGATTAGGAAAGGGAACCCAGATAAAAACTCGGGGCAAGGGACTAGAGAGAAATCAGCTCAGGAAAAATTGGATTACAATATTGTCAATTAAAATAACAATGATAATTAAGTTGTGTAGCAATATAGTTGAAGTGAAATCATTTGTTCAACTAAGACGCAGTTGATAGAAGGGGGAAGTATGGCAACAAAACAGATAGCAGAAAAGTTATGGTACACTACACTGTTTACAGCTTGTCAAGTGCAAACTTTGCTTTTTACCTTTAAGGTAAACTGTGGTAAGGTAAAAATTATTTTTAAGACCAAAATACAACAGAATGATTTCACATTGATGGCTAATAACTTTTACACCTAATTGACAAGATCATGAGGAATTGATGAAAATGTTCCCCCCCCCCCTTGACTTTCCACCCAACCCCAGGAGTATGTGGAATGATCATTAGGAAAGGGGGGGAGACAGAATTTGTATATGTTGGAATCATAGCTAACATAAGGATATGAACTGTTCAAATGGTATGAAAGTTTTGTAAATTTTTCATAGAACACAATGTCTCTACCCTCAAAGGGACTATTTATGATTTCATTGTTTCAATGTATTGTCTTCCTTTTCAACTGTGTGCAGGTATGAGTTCTTTTTTGGAGGTATGTCATCAATTAACCTGTGTGTCACTCAGGCAATGCAGAGAGACTTGTGGGAAAAATATGAAATAAGGTCTGTAATTGTTTTTTGATCAAATAAGTAAATTTTACCACAAATTAAATGAATAAAATTTATAAGTAATGAAAAACTGGTAAATATCTAGTTTGAAACAATCCAAAGCTGCATCTAACAATATGCATGTGAAGCCAATATAAATATACATATTTAAACATATATAGATATTTATGTGTATGTATGTATTTAAATAAATTTATATACATGTAGAAAATAGCCCAAAACTTTTTTTTCTTTTTCTGTAGGGCACACACTTTGTATGATCGGCCTCCATTGCGGTTTCATGAAATGGATCTTTCTACACAACATCAAGTGGGTAATTCGAACAAGTTTTTAATAGACTAAATTATATTTATATGTTCAGGAAGTAAAGGTTAAGATTCCGAGTAAGTTACCTGCCAACAGGCAAGAACAATGGAAATTAAATAATTTGGTAGAAACCCTGGCTGTCAACAAGACAAAGTAGGCATGGGTTTGTCAATGCCTAACTGGTTAACCCTTTAAACCCAAATATCACCCCTGAATCACAGGGTCATGAGAATAAAGGAGATGATCACCAACTAAAGATGCTTTTGATCAGTAAACAAATTCTCCTTGTCAGCACCTTAGGAAATGTATAAAGAACAGTATGGAGAATATGCATAATGACATTAGGGTGTAAAGGCTTAAAATAAACAAGGCAGTTGTACATAAGCCTCAGACATAGTTTACATTACTTTACCTAGCAAGAAGTAATGTACGATTAGCCAATCAATCACATCAGTCATATATCAAACTTCATGCAAACTTTCTTCATGCTATCCCTTTGGATTAGACTGGATATTGTGTGTCTGGATTGCTTAAGTTGATATCTAAATACATTACCTTCCAGCTTTTTCTAAAGCTTTCCAAGGAATATGAAGTTTTCAGTGCACCAGAAAGGTATAGTCATTTTTTATTTTCTTATTTCTGTTTCCACATGTAAGTTTTGTTTTTTTAATCAATTAACGTGAATGCTTGCTCTTCTTGGAAGTCCTTCAGAATTCAAGAATGATGTAACTTCTATGACAGCATTCACCATTCAGTTAAAAGATGGAAGAATTCTTTTCAGGCAACAGAGGCCTGCTCTCCTTGTCAGCAGCACAAGCTGGACAGGTAATCATTAAAATCATTATTGAATAAAACAAAAATTCTTTAAATTGTTTGCTAAGAAGCAATGCCATTGACAGTAACTCTCAAGTACGGGATGTGCTTGTTTTTTGTAATACAGAGAGCCATTGGCTCACTGGCTAAAGTACTAAATGAACATATAGTTGATTTTAGAATTTTGGGATTGTTTGTTAGCTGTACCTCAAAATATAACTGATGCATACTGTTGTCTTCATTAGTCACAATGTTGTGTTGTAACTCACAACACTTCTTTTAAATATTTATAGAAGATGAAGACTTCTCAATTCTACTGGATTCTCTTGAAGGTAAGAACCACCAGGAACTTTAAAACCTCTTGATCTGTTTTACTGATGAAAATAAATGAACATGTATTCAACAAATTAGATATTTTCTCTAAATGATCTTGAGGTAAACAGCATTATTGAATAGAGCATAAAATCACAGGAAGTAAGCAGAAAGGATGTTGTGCTTTAGAAGACGAAGAAGCTAAGGATTTCCACTACCATTCTGTCTCCTTTCTAGTCTTTCCTGTGAAATCATATTCATACCTTTCCCTTCCTTCTACCCATTTACTATTTTGGGATCCCCCTTCCATTATCAAGTACATGTTTCTTAATTGGAGCTAAGTAGAACTAAGTGGAGGTCTGTAAAGCTTATATCACAAGGTTGGAAGATATACATCAATAGGAATTTTCTGAAAAATTATAATCTCTGATTAATTTCAAATTATTTGTCTGTCAAATAGAGTATGAGAAGGTTATAAGTGAGGACCAAGCATCCCTTCCTTCTATAGTTTGTGCCATAACTGGTGAGTGCTGGGTAAATAAAGTTCCAATCAGATTACCTGTTAAATCAATCCAGCAGTAAGAAAGACTAATTGCACCTCTGTGTTTGCTTTGTTCTCTTTAACAGGCAAGGGACCTTTAAAGGAATATTATCAAACAATAATTAGTAAAAAGAACTTTAAACATGTAAAAATATGCACTCCATGGCTTGAGCCAGAAGACTACCCACGCCTGTTAGGTGAGTGTTCAAGTTGACCCTGTAATTCACCATTGTCTTAATGCCTAGGATCTAGTTGTTAATTCTCCTATCTAGCTGCTACACATCTCCTTTTTAATTAGTTATGAGGATTAGATGTTAGATCTAGATAACCTGTTAAGTTTAAGTATTCTCACTACCAATTTGCTAGTTAATGTAAGGATATTATAGAGAGAAGTTACATGTTAATCACTTCTGCACGGGAGTTTTAGGATGAACCACACCCCTGAACTCCTCCCACAGGGGGGTGACTCTTCGTTTGTGCTGTTTATTTGTTAAATTCCTGTACAGATTGCAAATTAATATATCTATATGAATATATCACACAGTTGTACTCAAGTTTTTCTCTGTTGGGTAAATTATGCCCTTCCAAAATATTCAGCGCATTTCATTTTGACTAACCAACTTTGAATTTTATAACTTATTTGAAGGTTCAGCTGACCTTGGTGTGTGTCTGCACAAGTCATCATCAGCTTTAGATTTGCCTATGAAGGTTAGCCAGTCAGTTGCTCAATATTCCTCTTTATTTCTTTACAGCCATACCGAGAAAGTTGATTATTAAATCACTTATTTGTGTATTATCTATTGCCAGGTTGTAGACATGTTTGGTTGTGGCTTGCCTGTGTGTGCTATACATTTTGAGTGGTAAGCAATGTACAAATATTTACAATTATATAATAAGCTTAGTTATGCATGCATTCTGATTGGTTCTCACTTATGATCTATTGGAGGACAGACGTATAGATGACGTCATCATTAAAACTTTTTTTAATTCTTTATTATATAATACAAATAGATTCCAAGTTACTGAACAGACGCACGGCAACTTGGAATCTATTTGTAATTACCGGGCACCTATTAATCATTTGATCGTGCAGTACTCAGTTAATTTATAAGGCAATCAATATTAACTAGTGTTATAATGAAGGACATAAAGACAAAAAAAAATGTGACTCATAGGAATGGCAAGTGTGGTATATTTGGGAAAAGAAATTGGCATGTACACGTGCTATGTATTACAACGTGCTGCGTGAAAGTTTTCGTAAACGGTAAAGTGAAGAACAGCTCTCCTCCAATGACTGTCTGTAAACTTTTGCCTGACAGTGTTATCGACTGACTACTAACGGGATGCCAGGAAAACGTATAGTTTACCGAAATTTGCCTGTTGCAATGATTACCCTTTGTTAAGTAAGCCTACTCCTCTAACATTTAGTGAGACCAGCGTAAGATGACCAGACAATTTTCGCCTTCATTTCAGCTTACACGAGTTGGTCAAACATGAAGAGAATGGTCTGATATTCCGCGACAGTATGGAGCTAACTCAACAACTAAAAGTAAGGTTCAAAATTCGGCCTTGTTTGTTAAAATCAGAACCTCAGCCTATTCCTGTTATATGGCTCATTTATCTTCCATAATGTGTTGTTGATAAGGAAATACTTATTTTGATTTCCCCTTCTTTTTTTTTTTTTTCCAAAAAACGATGATTGAAAGGAACTATGTTTTTCGGAAAGTGATGGAGAACATCATCCAACATACGCTTGGTGTTACACTCTGATACCATGCATACACTTATGAATAAACTTCCACGAGACGCATCGTCGAGAAAGTCCGTTCTTAAAATCACAAAAATAAGTGAAGAGAACTGTCATCTGATAGTGTTTCTGTTGTTTTGAATTTCAGAAACTCTTTCGAGGTTTTCCCCTGAGCAAGCCGTTACTCACTAGTTTCAGAGAGAACTTAGCAAGTTTCCAAAGGACGAGATGGGATGCGAGTTGGAAAAAAATTGTCCTGCCATTGCTAAAAGAGAAATGAAACATGTACAAATGTTTCCTTAAATTCATCTCAATTAATAAAATTCAGTATAAATTATTTCTTGAAGACTGTATGTTGTCGTATGGCTACAGATCTGAGAAAAGTTGCTATACTAGTCGTTGTTTCGTTGTTGATTTGAATCTGCCGTTCACACTTAGTTTAGGCTACCATTTTGGTTCGAAAGGGATGTCTTGAGGTTGCAGGCTTCTGCATGCTGCGTTATTTTGCGGTTAATGGGAAACTCTCTCTTTAAATCCTTTGTTGAGACCCTGCCTTTCTCCGCGTTTCCCTGCCACTGCGCTGTTGTTGGAGTCCCCAAGGGATGAGTTCCATGAACGTCATGTGACTAAACCCACGTCCACGTCTAGCTGGAGTAGAGACATTTAGATCCCGGTTTACGTGAAACGTGAACGGTAAAAAATATCACGTGGCTATTTTCCACGTTTGCCGTTCGCCATTTGCCATTTCTGGGCGTTTGCCGTTTGGCGTAAACGTGGATCTAAGTCTCTAATTTATCTAGTGACTTTCCGTCGTGCCTGTTGAAATCGAAAACTGGTAAACTAGAGAAGCACTCCTCGCCTGCGTAGCTGGCGGTTTTGTGCGCGGTTTAATTGGATGAGAGGCTTAACGCCGCAAAGTACACACAAAACCGCCAGCTAAGCAGGTAAGCGTTCCACTTGTCGATAACTCATACAGCGCCTTGAAAGGAACCTCTTATTAGAGCATTTTTTGTAGAGAAATGTTTATAGTACTTTTTTTCTTTTTATGACTAGGAGGTATCCAAAACGGAGTTATTCAGACGAAATCCGATATTGGGAAGACCATAATTAATGACTATAAAAACTGTGTCGTCTACAGCTGACGAAAATGAGAAACAACATTCGCCCCTAGATGAATGAATGGAAAAACAAATTCGGAGCTCATCGTGCCTGTGAAACTTTATGTCTAATCAAAATTGTAGACAAGTAAATAACTTGGGTAACTTCTAATATCAATGCCATAAACGGTGCCGGGCATTAAGCCACTGTCAACTTCTAATCGTTCTCCTACTGCGGGAGCTGCCACACATGGCGCGATCAGCGTCTACAGTACTGTAAAAAGAGGCTTACTGGTATTTCTCTTAATACCTTTTGTCCCTGCAAAATTTGAAACTTTTAAGGACTTAGGAGAATCTTACGTTGAGAGCAAAACCCAACAGAAGACTCGTCAAAACAAAGCAAAGGCGTGTTACGTGTATTAGCTGCGCTAATCGGCTTTCACACTATGTGACTGGATTATGGCAAGGAATGTTAACCACACCTGTGTCGACCTATCACGATCAACGATGCCATCCATCGTAACTGGTGGGAACAAAATGCCTCTTCAAACGACGAATAAGGTCTTACGTGTTAATCTCTCAAAGAAGTTAATACGATCTTCCGTTGACACAAAATGTAGAAT